AAATAGAACCTTGATGCTTACAATAACTTAATTTGGCCTCATGCTTTGTCCAGGACAAGTAAGATGTCTAGCAATTCCTATAGACGGTATCTAGAGGCTGAGCATACAATACAGTTCAAGGAACACCAAATTGTCATTTTCTGACTGTATAATAATTCTCTTCATATGGGACAATTCTTGTTGATAGAATGGCAGCCAAGTTGGCGAATTTCCTGTGCAAAGTAGTATTCTTTTCCAGCACTGATTAATAGGAAAGAGGCAGCTAAAACAGAACAGGAATTTGCAGAGTGCCATAAATCGGAGCTTGTTCATAGTTGTTCTAACTTATGCAAGGGCTGAATTTAATTAAGGAATCAGTGCAAGATTCCTGGACCCTCTCCACCATTTTGCCTACCTGGAGCTTATTGGAAGATCCAACTCTTCATCTTCAAAATAAATAAAAGAAAAGAATGGTTTATGTCCTTTTCTCTTGTTATAATATATAAAGACTTTGAAGTATTTGCCTTGGTTTCTTGTCCTGCTTGCTATTTTTATTGATAAGCTTAAAAAAAGGCGTAGGTTTTATTGATATTGTTAAAAAAAATTGCAAGGTATTAAGCCATCATTTCACAATGTCAGATTAAAGTTTCTGTGTTAGTTGTTAATTCTGATTTCATGTGTCAATTGATCATTCCCTTTGCTGGCCTGTATCAGTAAAAAAAGTAATACATGGAACCAATGTGTGATTCGTGGGCTGAGATTCTTTCAACATGAGTTGGTTAAATCAGTATCTTACCCCCAGCTTTAACCAATCTTTGATGTCATCAAGGGAGATTTCTTTTTAATTCTGTAGGCTGAAGCATGAAATCTCATATAGACATTGCCTGTATCAAATGGACATTGATTTAATGCAAAGTAAAGATGTTCTGGACATCTTGAAAGTGGACTGTCCTGTACACTCAAAAGTCCAAGAAGAAAGAAAACCTTTCTTTTTCTCCTACTTACTAGTCACAAAATTTCCTACAGAAGATGGATTTAAACAGAGATGATCAATCTATGATCTTTGAGTTATTTAAGGGTCATAAACTATTCAAAATTCACTCCCAAACCAGTTTGTTATCCTATGATCAGAAGAAGTGGGGATCTGCTGATATGGGAATGGTTGGGCAATTGAAATCCCTTATTGTATAAGCAAGTAAAAAATGGCTGATAAGGTTCATGCACCTGGATTGTCCAAAACTCTGCTACATATCCATCTCAGCCCTATCCCACAGTGGATCAGTGGGACTCTATGAAGATAATGACAAATGCAGCTTGAAGAGCTACCTATATTGAGTTATGTGTCACAACTCTATTGAATTATATATTTTAAGAGATTTTAGAAAGTTGAAAATTCTGGAAAATTACTCAGGACCAGAAGAGTTGACCTCGTCTAAATTAAAGTGAGGAAAACATCGTTTCACTTAAAAAAATGGTAGTTGCTCAAAAGTTCATTGCACCTGTGGGCTTTCTGCTTCTGTGCTCCATTTCCCTTCATGGAAACTGTTTAGTTCAAGACAGGAAATACCTCTTGGGTATTGTTACTTCTATGAGGACCTTCATTGTCATATATCTTTTCTATGTGAAAATACTTACAAGTATTTGTAAGGTTTACTCAACCCTCTCTTTATTAAGGTAGAATCCAATTTCCTTTTACCTGATATCCTGATATAGTTTTATGGCTCCTGGATTACATTCACACATCTTTTTTAGAATTTTGAGCATAAGAACTTGCGTTTCTGAAAGATGACCATTAGGTCCCTTGAAATATTCTGGAGAGATTGTAATGCTGTTCACTAAGGTACAACTGATTCCCTTTTCCTGCTTGATATAAATGTATGGTCTGAATCCTCTCTCTTGGGCACTCACTGCAATGAGATATTGTACTGTAACAGTAAACTATGAGAAACCTTAAATCCTTCTCTGAGTCATTGCTCTTACAGACCATTCACTCGTCTTGTCAGCATAGCTCTGTTCTTCACAAAAGTGTTTGTGTTTTGCATGATTATAACAGTTTTTGGACTGCAGTTAAATTAGGTAACACAGATCATCCTGTATTGTAACTCACTATTAATTATTCCAGACTGTTTCAGTTCATATATTTATTTAATTGTACTTACCCAACCCTCTCCTATTTGTGAAAAAGGATATATATATCCTATATATATATATTTATATATATAAAATATATATTTTATGAAAAAAACTGATCATAAGTCAGCTTCTGGAATGGCAGAAAAAGGCATTTGAAAAATAGGGTGCTCATGTTTTGTGGTGGAGTTTAAACTAGTTATGCTTTTAAAGCTGGGAAGAAGCTCTTGATTTGACCAAATAACTGATCTAAAAAGACAGAAAGTCTTTTTCAAACCCTGGGCTGTTGAATCCTGTTATATATTCAAGGCAAAACTGGTTGCCAGACTTTGGATCAGAAAGTATTTCTCCTCAGATTAGATTGACTGGTATCTACGTTGTTTCCGAGTCTTTTTTGTACATCTTGGGTTGTGAATCAGCTATGTTCACCTACGTGTTTTTTTATATAGTCAAGTGCAAGTAATGTGCAGTGGTAGTGCCTCAGATTCTTCTGTTGTTAGTTTATGACACAAATTTAATCTCTTCAGAGTGAAATTATATAGTCTAGCTCAAATAATCAGTTTTAACATGGAAATATCTGAATGATTTATAGCAAACGATCAGATACAAGAGTTTAGAAGAAAGATTTAGTGATCTTTTTCTGGCATCAAATTCTGTGCAACTGTGAAGGTATGTCACTGAAAAGTCAGAGTACAGAAGCTATAGAGAAATAACAGTTTTGTAGCTTACTAAGTGAATGTAAAATACTGTACTGTCCCAATTTTCCCCCTTTTAAAATACCATTTTAGTTGGTTCAGCTGTAGTATGATAACACGGGCTGTAAAACAGTCTCATTTTCTTTGCAGTACTGTATGCAGGCAATAGAAACTCTAGTGCAAACTGCTATTTGGACTTATTTCTGTTTCACTTTATTATCATGATTACACTGCAACAGCATTAAGATATTGCAATGGAATAACAGAACATTGTGACAGACCTTGTAGTCTTTTTCCCTACAGGGTGAAACAGTTGTGAAAGACCTGCATATACCATTTCTTTTGTTTAAATTAATTGTCTTTTCTCTAGAGTCTCTCATTCAACTTTATTTAGTTCCCACTGAAATAAATTGACAAACGGACTTTACGTGATATTGGACCGGTCCATTAAGATCTAGTCCAGCAAAGCGCTTAGGCACACAAGTTAAAACCTAGAAGTATTCCCATTAACTGCTGTGGATAGAAGTCTATACAAAAATCTGAGGATGACTTTTCATAAACAGATAGTACATATATTTACTAATCCGTTATATTTTGCTTGACTGACAATTGTAAATTACCCTTTCTAAAGTAATCCTCTGATGAGACTTCTTTTTATTCAAAAACATTGTAAAAGTACTCAGTTTTATCAAAATTTTGAGAATACACGTAAGCATGACTAAAAGGAACAAAAATTATCTCTTCTGGTTAATTATCAGGTTAAGTTTTGAGTAAAGTGATAGGAGACCTATAAAGGAATTCATATAAATCTACTTCTATTCTGGGACAAGGCTTTTTATTTAACTTTTCATAAATTTTACTTCTGTAAAGATGCTGAACATATCTAGTTTACTATATACATTGAAACGACAGTTAAGAAGTACAATTAATTTACTTTAAATATTTGCTATTTTAATTGAAGTAATGCCTACAGATAATGATTAATGTAACCAATACATTTCACAATAAAGTAAACAGTCAATTTCAAGTGGTGGAGAATCTGAACATACATTCAAAAATGAGAAGGATACTAATTGAGCCGATTTTTGCTGACCATAGCTACCTCCAAGCCATTTCTAAACTGATTCTGAAACTCCTCTTGCTGTTCTGCGGTTACTCACATGAGAAACTATATGCACTGTAGTAAAATCCTGTTTTCTTTCAGGCTACATGGGTCATGTTTTTCTGGATTAGACTTAGAAGAAGGCAAAAGAGTAAAACACTCCTTTTGTGTTATTTGGTTTCATTCTTACTGTGTATTTAAGAATGGATTCATCCTAAAGCGTAACAGTTACTTGGAGAGTTCAGCACCATCTCTAATAAGGTAAAGAGTTGTTCCTGGGAGTTTTAAGGGGCATAATTAAGCCAGTAGTAGATAAGGGGAACTTCTCCTGGTGGAAAAACAGTCTATTCAGGCTTGTTTTCCCAGGTGACAATGAAATAAATATTTATTTAAGGACTTTGTTTGTTATATGTTCCCCATAGGAAAAGGGAGGCAGAGTCCAAAGTGCATACACTTTACTCTCCAAAGTAGGCGAGGCAACAAGAGTGGGGAAGAAAAAAAAGAGAAAGCTGTTCATCATCTCTGTTTTACATAAGAAGAGCAAAGTCCAATCATGCTGCATGTCCTTAACCGTATGAAGTCTGCTGATTTTTGAATAATCTTTCAGAGAACGAGACGCAAACCAAGAACAACCTTCACGGTAAGTCAATAATTATTTTTTTAAAATCAGAGATATTTTATAAAATTGAATGATAGCTAAAATAGGGAAAAATCCAAATAACTGCATAGTCTTTTAAATAAACATCTACTTTCTCATTTATTTTGTATATCTGTGCTGAACTGGAGAAAATATAATGCTTATACCATTCAAATGAAGTTAAATGAAGGACCCACTGTTATCAAACGGGTACAAATACAAAATGTAGATGTTTGTAAGCAAACTCCAAACATCTGGACTTGTTTTAACATGTTTATACTTGCTCATTACTAGGATTCACTTGCTGTATATGACATTAATAACTTTATTGATTTTAATAAGTATCTATATTTTTCTTTCAACTAAATGCTCATTGAGATTACTGTCCTTGGCTTAATGGTTATATATTTCTCAGTCAAATATTATTTTATAGGGAGCTATCTTAAATAAATTAAAAATGCGTTCTGAAGATGAAAACAAGCAGAAGCATACTGCAGATGAAAATAGTCATGAGATCACTGCATTCAGCCAAGATCATGAATCTGAAGGCAAACAGTAAGTATTCTATTCTTAAACATTGACAACATTTTCTGTATTGAAGCTTAGAAGATTATATTATCTTATTTTAGTTTTAATTTTATATTTTATTTAATTTCATTTTACTTTATTTTATCAGGAAAGCCTAATAACAGAAAGAATTCTATCAACTTGAAAGTAGCATTGATTGACACATTCATTTGGTGCAGAAGGACCTTTTATCTTTTTCTTTTAAGGACTAAGTGTCCACAGTATTGACTACAGTTTATTGAAAAACAGTTCTAAAATATGATAGACATGATGTCAGAATGGACATTTTGGATACCATTATGTCATCAGCTAAAAATTATGTAAAATATTTAGTGTGGCAGAGAATCAATATTTTACATACTTTGAAAATTGTATTTATTCCCCATCCCCCATGTGCAAAAATTTGATTTTATAAGTTACTTTTTCCCATTTTGAAAGCTATATACTGCTTCAGTTCACGGCTTCCCTGATCAGATAGTGGAACCACCAGCCATTGTTGGTGTTGTTGCACTCTTGAGAGGGATGAACTGGGAAGAGCTTGACTTAAATTTATAGCAGTCAGGAGCTGATGGTGTTTATATACTCAGCTTTTTAAAGAAAAACATCCTAAGAATGCTCAATAAATCATATTCATTTTACACACAATTTTATCCTGTAATATTATTTCATAATTATATTTTTATTGAACTTCGTGAATACCTTGCATTAGTATTTCGGTGAAATGTTGCTTTTTAAATGCACTAAAATTTTCATACCTTTTAAGCAAGGAAAAGAAGAAGAAACCAGAAAAGCCTAAGATGGTCAGCCCATTTACACTGGTAAGATTTATTCTCTCTATATATGCGTACATATATATTCACACATGCACATTTCAAAGTGTACACAAAAAATGGTTAAAGTTATGCTAGAGTACTGCATATATGGTCTTGTCTCTACCAAGTAGTTTGATACTACAGAATATTGGATATAGTATAGCAATCCAACAGTTCTTTTTGTGGATGTAGTTTCATTGAAGAAGCTGTCTTATTACTGATATGGATTCTTAGGAGTCTTCCCTTAGTAAGTTACCATGCTAAAAACACCCATACTAGATACATGTTTGTGAAAGGTAGGGATTTCCATGTTCCATCATTTCTTCCAACACAATGAAAAGGGTGTCCGTGTACCTGAGTTTATGTGTGTTCTTGTCCTCTAAATTACCGGTCAGGTACTAATCACACTAATTAGCCCCATTAATCATTATTCAGTCACCTGAGTCAGCAGTAAAGGCCATGACACTGATGAAACTGACAATTAAAAATTGTCTACTAAAAAGTACTTTAAATTACAGAAATTTTTAATTTACTGTGTTTTTTAAAACAATGCAGTCTGTTAATATTTAATCACAGTAAATCCTAGGTCCTGCTTCAGTAATACTGAAATGTTTTATATTTTGTAGGTTTAGCATGCATAATGCACAGCAATGATATGGCAAATAACAGAAATAAAACTATGGCTTTTCTATACCAGCTTGCACATGTACAACTTCATCATGTCACTATAATTTACAACAGTAAACTTAGTATTTTACAGTACAGAATAAAGCCAATGATCTTGTAACAGATGAGCTCAAACTTTACTAAGGTCAATGGCAAGAGGTATTTAGAATTTCAGTAAGTGTTGATTATGTCTACGATACATTAGGAACAGTTTTCTGACTGCATAATAGTGAATTTACAGTAAAAGGAAATATTGCCCTATTTATCGCAATACCATTAACTTTTTTTTTATAATTTGAACTTCAAATAGCAAACTTAAAAAGGGCAATTTCTTATACCTTGTTTTCATATGGCTTTTCTTACACAGGTGCAGATACTGATACATTAAAATAGTAAATTTCTCTGGTTTTGAGAGTTTATAGTATAGGAGTGCTTATATTAGAATGATTTATTCCTGTACATTTAAATTGTTTCGTAAACTGAATTTCTAATCAGATAAAGTTGTAGTTTTGTGACACTAGGTGTACAATTGATAGCTTTTCCTTGACTTTCTTGCCTTTGTAGACATAACATATTAGCATTCTAATACCACAGTTAGAATGAATTTCTCTTCTCACTCACAGTTTCGCTACTCCAGTTGGTCGGATAAATTACTAATGATACTAGGCACTCTCCTGGCAATAGCCCATGGAAGCAGTCTTCCTATTGCGATGATAATTTTTGGTGATATGACTGATAGCTTTGTTAATTTTGGAGACACAAATTTTACAGGTAAGAATATATCTGCTGTGAAGAGAACAATGGCTCATATTTGGAAAATAGCCAGGGAGATTCAGGCATCTTGACATGAGATATTGATGTCAGAAACCCCAACTTGCTTCTATACTATGATGCAAATTAGTAGCTCTTGTGTTTGCTGTAATAGAGATACACTATGGATTATTTTTTTTTTCCTCCTAATTCTTAGTTTCTGCATTAGTAGACTTTATTTTTAATTTTATGAAATTATCTACTACAATGCACATTCAACAAATCACCTTTAACTGTGGCTAAGATAAATAGAAAGAGGCTGGTTTTCCATCTCCTCAGCATGAGTTCCTGTTGATCCCCTTGCACCAAGTCTGGCAATTATAGTCTGCAGGGTGACTCAGATCAGTAAGTGGATCAAACAGAAAATTTGCTAATGAAAATAAAAGTACTTATTTTCTCTTGGATCAATTTGTTGAATACCCTCATTTGCTAATCAGAAGTATGAAACTGAACACAAAGGAGGGCAGGCATGCACTGCTGGATACAAGAGAGGAGTGATACTGTCACTTCGGTATCAGCTCACAGTCAGACCATACTATGTTGTCCTCTGAATTCACACATTAGATGTTAAACGTGTGAACATTTTTTTTCCTGAAATATTATCTAACAACATTTTATTAAACATTTTAATAAGTGTCTATGGTGATACAGAAAAAATAAACAAATGTGACTATCTTCTGTCCTGCATCAATTTTTTCTGTTATTTTGCTGCTATAAGACAGAAACATGGGCATACTGCCTTTATCAGAACAAGTAATGTATTATTTACTCCTTCTCAAGTACAATAAATTGGTCAGATTTTTATGGTGCAAATGCAAAATGCTGTAGGTGTAGTCTTCTCAAAACGTTTATCACTAAGTTCTCATGTGGGGGAGTAAAATTTTAGGGCCAGTGGCAACATTATAGGCAATGTTTTCATAATGTGTTAAGCTATCTACAGTTACTGATTTGATGCTAATGTCTAGGCCTGTACTATTAATAGGTTTTGACATTATACAAATGCCCTATGTTTTCAGAAAGAAAAAAACAAACCTGAGCGTTTAATGAATGCTGAGGAATCTCAAGTTACACTGATGTAGTTTTGTAGTCACTGGAGTTATGACTATCCTTATATTGTATAATCATTGTTTTTGAATAGGTAGAAGCCTGAAATCGTCACACTCCTCCTTTCATTAAAATCAACTTAATTCAAAGGGAGATGTGGCAACTCAAAATTTGCTTAACAGCATGCAGGAAAACAAATTTGTTAAAATTTGCTCTGTTAAAGGTACTTACCCTTTTCTTCCTTTCTAAGAAAACATTACAGCAATGAATTCCTCCTTAGATCTCGGCAAGCTGGAAGAAGATATGACAAGGTAATTTAGAAATTGATATTTCCCCTTCTTTTATAATGTAGACACATATTTCTGGTCAAGCCATTCTTCTCCCACAGATGTTTTGCATACTTTAAAAAAACATAAAAGCCATGGTTGACTGAATAATGTATGTAACTAAAACTTTGCACATGAGATTATTGGAGGCACTGGGAGGATTCTTGAATGGCCCCAGCCATCCCCAACAATTTCCTTGTAATCTCTTGCTCTCACACATCCCACCCCCTTTTCAGGGGTGCTGTGTGTCCCAATGCCATGTGCATTTCCTTCCTTCTTCCTTCTCTTCCTCTGAATTTATAAACAGTAGTTATGTAAAAAATGATGTTGATTATCATCCATCGATTCCTTGAGCTATGATGATTCACTGATAAAAAGCAGAATTAAAATTGCCAGATAGCACCTGATATGCTGCCAAAGCATCACGTTCAACTAAATTGTCTGGAGTACAGAAAATACAGGGTTACATTATAGGCAACCTTAAATCTAGCATTCTAGAGATGGCAATAGCAGAAGATGATAATCAGTAGGTGCTTCTGCTACAAAGCTTCATAAAGAAAAGGACAAATAAGCTGTTAATAGATGTGTTTTGTTAAGGGGCTTTATTAACCACTGTCCACAGACTTGGTTTATGCAGGATGTCTAAAGTTAAAGTCCATTTTCTTGTACCACTTCACCTTCTTTTCTTCAGGTAGAAGTCTGTTCCTCATTAGGTATTGAAAAATGTCTGACATCTCAGGAATGCTGATATGGTCTTCAAGGCAATTGTCTTTTCTGAAAAGAAGGAGGAAGTCATAGAATCATAGAATGGTTAAAGTTGGAAGGGACCTTAAAGATTACCTAGTTCCACCCCCCCCTGCCATGGGCAGGGACACCTCCCACTACACCAGGTTGCTCAAAGCCCCATCCAACCTGGCCTTGAACACTTCCAGGGATGGGGCATCCACAACTTCTCTGGGCAACCTGTTCCAGTGTCTTACCATTTTCAGACTAAAGAATTTCTTCCTAATACCTAATCTAAATCTACCCTTTTCCAGTTTAAAACTGCTACCCCTCATCCTATCACTACACTCCCTGGTAAAGAGTCCCTCCCCATCTTTCTTTTAGTCCCCCTTTAAGTACTGGAATTCCCCAATAAGGTCTTTGCGGAGCCTTCAGTATTCCAGGCTGAAGAACCCCAACTCTCTCAGCCTGTCTTCATAGGAGAGGTGCTCCAGCACTCTGATCATCTTCGTGGCCCTCTTCTGGATCCACTCCAACAGGTCCATGTCCTTCTTATGTTGGGGACCCCAGAGCTGGACACAGTACTCCAGGTGGGGTCTCACGAGAGCAGAGTAGAGGGGCAGAGTCACCTCCCTTGGCCTGCTGGCCAAGTTTCTTTTGATGCAGCCGGGATGCAGTTGGCTTTCTGTACTGCGAGTGCACATTGCCGGCTCATGTTGAGCTTTTCATCAACCATCACCCCCATGTTCTTCTCCTCAGGGCTGCTCTCAATCCATTCTCCGCCCAGCCTGTATTTGTGCTTGGGGTTGCCCTGACCCATGTGCCGAACCTTGCACTTGGCCTTGTTGAACTTTGTGAGGTTCACATGTGCCCACTCCTCCAGCCTGTCAAGGTCCCTCTGAAAGGTATCCCTTCCCTCCAGAGATAAGGCACTAGCTCTAATAACTCTTGGTGTTTTATATTGAAGTGCATTATCATTTCTGGTAACTGGACTTTAAACTTATAGATCATTTAGATTAAGTAGTTAAGTTTCTAATTAAAAAAAGTATCTGTTTACACCAAAAAAAAAAGTTCTTTACCCTAAAATAATTGAACAAGAGTTAGTTATGAGAAGGCTGTTACTTAGCAATGAAGAACTCACAGAATCACAGAATCACAGAATCACAGAATGGTTAGGGTTGGAAGGGACCTCTGGAGATCATCTAGTCCAACCCCCCTGCCAGAGCAGGGTCACCTACAGCAGGTTGCACAGGACAGCGTCCAGGCGGGTTTTGAATGTCTCCAGAGTGGGAGACTCCACCACCTCTCTGGGCAGCCTGTTCCAGTGCTCCACTACCCTCAAAGTAAAGAAGTTCCTTCTCATGTTAAGATGGAACTTCCTATGTTCAAGTTTATGCCCATTACCCCTCGTCCTATCACTGGGCGCCACTGAAAAAAGACTGCTCCCATCCCCCTGGCATCCTCCCATTAAGTATTTGTAAGTATTAATAAGATCCCCCCTCGATCTTCTTTTCTCTAGACTAAAGAGACCCAAGTCCCTAAGCCTTTCTCCATATGAGAGATGTTCCAATCCCCTAATCATCTTCGTTGCCCTTTGCTGGACCCTCTCCAGCAGTTCCCTATCCTTCTTGAACTGGGGAGCCCAGAACTGGATGCAGTACTCCAGATGCGGCCTCACCAGGGCAGAGTAGAGGGGGAGGATGACCTCCCTCGACCTGCTGGCCACACTCTTCTTGATGCACCCCAGGATGCCATTCACCTTCTTGGCCGCCAGGGCACATTGCTGGCTCATGGTCATCCTGTTGTCCACCAGGACTCCCAGGTCCCCCTCCACAGAGCTGCTCTCCAGGAGGTCAGCCCCCAACCTGTACTGGTGCATGGGGTTATTCCTCCCCAGATGCAGCACCCTACACAACTCCTATGTAATGAGTATGAACTGGGAGGGAATTGGCAATTAGGTTTTATAAGAGAGTATGGACACACAGAGTTCATTGCTCCTGCAACATTTCTGTCACTTAGACTCTGACATGAATGCAAGTAATGCATACACACCTTTGGCAGAATATACTTGTGCCCAGTGATTTGAAAACAAAATTGAAGGCCAAATTGCAGAACAAAATAATTTGTGCATGGGTGAAGTTACACAGCTTTAAAATAAACATATTTTCTTTTTTTTTATTTTTTCAACTCAAGCATATCTAACCTGTATTTTAAAAGCAGGATGCACTCGAATAACACAAGGTATTATTGACCCTTACAGTATAAGAGTAGTGTGTAAATCAATGTGTCACTTTGAAGTCTTTTAGACCAACAACCAATCAGAACTATTTTTGATTAATGGTTTGGTATTCTTTTAATCTCTGAACTCATATCACATCATCTCAATCAAAACCAATAGGAATCCTCCCATTGTCCTCAGTGAGCTATTGTCTAGGAGTCACTACTGCTTACAGAACAGAGTACTGGAAAACAGACAAGCTGATACAGGGGACGTGTAAATGTGAATGTAGATCTACATCAACATCTAAATGTTGAGTACTGCCTGTTCTCAGGACCCTAAGAGATGGTCTGTTTGAGGGAGATCTTTATTAATGTCATGCATGCCATCTTGTCTTTTAGATATTAACTCTGAAAGTACAAATATTAATAAAAAGGAGCCCAAGCGTCTCTTTAGAAACAAATTGTTGAATGAGGAATTTAGTACTTATTAGCAGCACAGGATTAGATTCTCTTTTCTAAAGTTTCTAGGTAGACCCTTGAGTTAGTGTGTTCATTGGTTTGAAGAAGAAGCTATTGGTACCCACCCCCTGTTTCTCTAAGAACACCTGCCAGCAAGTCAAATAACAATAAAAACTGTTTACAAGGACAAAGCTCTCACACAGGTGTGTTCATGTGCTGAACTATACACGTGTACTTCGTTGTGTTTGATACTCAAATAACAGTTTGCCTAAAATTCAACTATTTCTCAAGACAAAAAGAACCATTGTTTTACAATGCAGTGAGCATTTACTGTGTCAAGTTTCAGCAGTGAATTTACAGAATATATTTCATCAGTGTGGAATCTGGCAAAGAGATCAATCCCTTTTGATATAATTTGTCATGAAACAAAGTCCAAAAATATTCTTTGGAGTGATGTAACATCATAAAGTAATTGTCTAAAGTAATTATTGCTGAGTTCTGAAGCAGTGGCCTTGGTTTTAGTTTGGCAGTTTCTGCATAGAGTTTTAATGGAGCTGAAGATGATCGAGGTCAATATTCAACTACCCAGCATTCAGTTAGGCATTAACCTATTTTTATTACACAGTTTGGATACAGTTCATTTCATAATGACTATAGTTCCAAAGTCCCTGACTAATCTGTACAGTATCTTAGCTGCAAAAAAGACTGGATTAAAATTTGAAAATTTTCATCCATATTAATTTGAAAAGTTTCATTCTCTCCTTTTTTTGAGCAGAGCATTTACACACAGATTTCTGCAATTTACTTCTGCCAAGTTTCCTGCTACAGTTCTAAAGAATCAGTATGCATAACTTGCTACATGTGAGTGAAAGTCCTAAGAGGTTTAAAGCTTTTTCCTAATTGTTTGCTTTTATATAGATGCAGTAGTCTTACAATAACATTAAATACACACCACAAATATTTAGCCATTGTTTTTGGTCATGTTCATGAACAGAATCAGTTCAGTTACATTTTTTTTTTGTTTAGTTCTTGTTTAGGTTCACCTGTAACTGATTCTGATGTCAATTCTGAATGAAAAAAATCTGATTTGATTCTGTTTGAATAGTTTAAAACCATGGCTCAAATTCAATTCCAGTTTGAGAAATATAGTGGTTCACACAGTCCTTGGTTTTGATTTGACACCCTGCTCATGGCACAAAGCTGAATTAATGTAAAAGTAAAATATCAGTTATGAATAAAATAGAGAGCAAAAGAATTTTTTATCTAATGGCATTTGCTTGCAGTAGATGTGTCTATAGTAATGCTCTATTCTCAAATAGGTAAATATTTATAGCATGCATGCGTATATACTTATATAGACAGACATGTATGATGTAAGTGTGTGTGTGAATATAGGTATATATGACTAGGTCTGTTTATGTGCGTTAAAACAAAAATGTTATCAAGTTTTTGGAAATCACACATTTAAGTGAAAAGGATATTGTATCTGAAATATAGTTCTAAAATAATCTTATGAGAAAATATATACTGTATTGACAAAAAGAAAAAGAAATTCCTGTCTAACAATAGCTTCGTTTAGTTTATTGAATATCTGAAAACTGATATTAAATACTACTCATAGGAAACTTGGCAAGTTTTACAGAGAAATATAAACTCTAGTATTAACATATACACTCTATTTCAGGTCTGAAACTGAAGAAGTAAGCATCAAGCTAAATACAGACTACTGAGGCAATTTAAACTAATGTCAGAGATTCCTGCCATTTTTTTTATTTCTTTCAGATATGCATACTACTATTCTGCAATAGCAGCTGGTGTTCTTCTTGCTGCTTATGTGCAAACTTCATTTTGGACCCTAGCAGCAGGCCGGCAAATAAAAAAAATTAGAGAAAATTTCTTTCATGCGATTATGAGACAGGAAATTGGATGGTTTGATGTAAATGATGTCGGAGAACTTAACACTCGTCTTCTAGAGTAAGTATACTATACCTTTCCCAATGTTATTTTATCTTACTAAGCATGTATGAGTTACAATATTTTTTAATTTTTATTTTTAAATTGAATTATTTCATTGTGAAATGAAGTTTTCAGGTTTTCTCATGGAGAGTCTCAGAGACTGAACTTCTGATACTGGACTTTCCCAAGGATACCAGAAAAGCATTTTGATAAGCTCCCTTGAACGTTGTGGATGACTAAAGCCCAGCCTATGAGATTACACCCATAAAAGAAAACAGATCATTTCTGTGCACGCTGGGGACTAAACAAAGTTGCTGACTGACCGCAGC